ATATATACACACACACATTAATTTTATTCATTTATTTATATATGGTGCTGAGAATCAAACCCAGTGCCTCACACATGTGAGGCAAATGCTCTACCACTGAGCCAAAACTCCAGCCCTAAGTTTTGATTCTTTTCCCCCTTCCTATCCTTCTCTTCTCCTCTCTCCTTCCTGTTCCACTGACTCTTTTATTTTCACCTTTTCCTTTACAATTTAATATGTGGTCAATGTCAGACATATATTCTAATTTTGAGGCACAGCAATTTATAGATGAGAAAGGGTTCTTGAGAATCATGGGCTTGGGTGCAAACTCAGATTTATGCCTTATGGGCAAATTATATAACTTCTCAAAGCTCTGTGTCCTAATCCTTCTCATTAAGGTACTTGGAGGAATAACTAAGACAATATATGTCAAGGGCTTGGTACATGGATGGATCTCAATAGATGTTTGTTTATTCCCTACTTCCTTTTTATTTTTGAACTACTAGGCATACAGTAGTCATTAAATAGATTCTTATTGAATCACTATTTGGAATTCAATTTAGTAGACCCGCAAATACTTGGAACAGTTGAGATTGAGAGTGAGATAATAATAATTATTATAGCCCTTTTGTGCCAAGTCCTGGGATCAGGGAAGTCCTTGCCATATAATATCTTCCCCAAATGCATAACATAGACATTATTTTTATTATTCAACATACAATCTTTATTACTCAGGGACCACACTTCATTTTACAGACTAAGGAACTGAGGTTTAGCAGGGTCGAGTTATTTACATGGAGTCACAAAGCAGAGTCTTGATACCAGAACCAAACCCCTTCACCACTCGTTAGACTGCAGAATCATTCACTATTTATGATCCCCTGCAGGCCCATAAGAAGAGTACAGTCCAGCAACTGGAAGATCATTTGTTTCCTGCACACAAAGTGAAATCATCCTTCTGAAGGATAGTATAACTAACAAGAAGTTATAAAATATCAGGAGACTTGAGACAGAGCTGCATTGTTCTCACAGGGAAAGGAATCTATTAAGGGACATGGAAAAGTTAAGGGTTTGGAGGGAAACAGATTGAGAGCAACATACTAGGGCAGCCCAGACCTGGGGGATAACAGAAAGGTCTAATGGGGAATTCTACTAAGTTGTTTGCAGTTTAAGGTGCAATTCAAGCCTTTGTTTTATAAGATCGATGTTGTTCTCTGAAGCTTTGAAGAGCCTTTGCTTGGAGCAGATGTCATGCTGACTGAGCTGTTTGCAAAGCTGGAAGAAACACGAGGACCTTTCTCACCTGGACATAGATCAGTGAAGTGCAGGCCACTTTTTCCTGTTTTCTTTTCCCTTTTCCCATCATTTTCTTTCTCTTTTACAACTACAGCCTCGTTTTCCAAGCTTGAGCCCTTAGTAATTCAGCTTCTGCTACCAAATACAGTTGTCCCTTGATGTCCTCAGAGGATTGGTTCCAGGAGGACTCCTGAATGTATACACAATCCACAGATGTTCAAGTCCCTATGCAAAATGGCATTTTTACATGTAACCTATACATATCTTTCTGTATACTTTAAATCATCTCCAGATTACTTATGATACAACAAGGTAAGTTATATGAATATAGTTGTTATTTGCTGCATTGTATTGTTAAGGAATAATGACAAGAAAAATGTCTGTACATGTTCAGTACAGATGTCATTTTTTTTCCGACTGTATTTCATCTCCAGTTGTTCGAATCCATGGTTGCAGAACCCAAGGTTACAGAGGGGCAACTGTACTTTATGAGGCTCTATTGGCATTTAGATGTGAATATGATTGTGTACCTTGGCAGTTCATTGGAACCTCCTGGATCTTTTGGGTAAATCAGAGTCAGATGTTTGTGAGTTCTACCATGTAGTATAAGAAGTAAGGATACTGGCATTTCTCTGGGCACGGTGGCACATGCCCTTAATCCTAGTGACTTGGGAGGCTGAGGCAGGAGGATCACAAATTTGAGGTAGGCTTGGCACCTTAGTAAGATTCTGTCCCAAAACACAAAGTAAGAAAGCCTGGAGGTGTGCATCCCCAGTAACACATACATGTGTGCACGCACACACACACACACACACACACACAGAGGATATTGGCATTTTGGTCTTTGTAACACAATGAAGTTAGTCACTGAGCATGTCCCATTGGTTGGTTACTAATTGAAAGTTTTCTAACAATCACATCACAAGTGAAATAAGTTGGCAAAATCTTAACAGTGTGCTTGCTTTCTCATCTTTTATAGAAAATGGTACCAGATCAGACTTTATATTGCTGTCAGAGAAGTGAAATAGTGGTCAGAACAATAATTTTGGATCATGTTTAAAATGCCAATAATTATTGCAAAGTAGAGACCAATTGACAGAGCCTGGATATCTAAAATATTTGGTGAAGGTCAAGGTACATTCCTCTGGAAAATATAGTACAGGATTCTTAAACTTAATTGTGCATGTAAATAACCTGGAGATTTTGAATGCAGATTCTGATTAACACATCTTGTGGGTAGCCCGAGATTATTCATTTTAAACAATTCTCAGGTGATGGTGGTGCTGCTGGTCCATGGGCCACACTTTGGAGTTGAGTGGATGATAACTTTCCTCTCTTTCATTTTCTGCAATTCTGAAAAAGGTTAAAAACAGAGTCTGTAGGCATGAGCTCCCAAATTGACACTCTCTACTTCAAAGAGTCCAAGGAAGGGTTGGGGTTGTAACTAGTGGTAGAACCCTTGCCCAGCATGTGTGAGGCCCTGGGTTGATCCTCAGCACCACATCAAAATAAATAAATAAAATAAATTTATTGTGTCCATCTACAACTAAAAATATTTTTTAAAAAGGAGTCCAGGGAAATTTCATTTCACTTATTTTGCAAATATAATCATGAACCGCAAAATAATATCTTGATCAAATGATGGACATACATACTATGGTGGTCCCATAAGAGTATAATGGAACTGAAAAAGTTCCTGTGACTGTTGACATCAGATCCATCCTAACATTATGGAGCAATGTATTACTCACATTTGTGGTGATGCTGTTATAAGCAAATCCACTGCACTGTCAGTCATATCAAAGTATAGCACATATAACTATATGTAATAATCAACAATTATGTGTCAAGTTTACTATCAAAACTTTTATCATCAATTTTCTTCTTTTTTTTAATAAATTAAAAATTTAGAATAGTACCTTTACAGAAAAGTTGAAAAAAATAGCACAAAGAGTTCTCCAATACCCAGTATGGAGTTTCCCCTATTGACAATATCTTATAGTACTATGGTACATTTGTCATAATCTGTACATTACTATCATCTAAACTCTATAGTTTATTCAGGTTTCATTAGTTTCCCCTTAAGTCTTTTTTTTAATATTTATTTTTTAGTTATCGGCGGTCACAACATCTTTGTTTATGTGTGGTACTGAGGATCCAACCTGGGCCGCACGCATGCCAGGCAAGCGTGCTACCGCTTGAGCCACATCCCCAGCCCACCCCTTAAGTCTTTTTATTTATAAGATTTCTTAGCCTCCTCTGGGCTACAACAATGTCTCAAGATTTTCCTTGGGTTTTGATAACCTTTTAAGGAGTACTAGTCTGGTATTTTGTGGAAAATTCTCTCAATTGGGGTTTTTCTGATATTTTTCTCAGGGTCAGACTGCAGTTATAGGTCCAATATAGCTCTTGAACAAAACCTCTTGAAAGTACTGTTATTCCTTTTATCAGTTCACCAAGTCCAATTTAACTAAAGAGAACTGAATGACTATTCAGAGTTTGGGAGATGGGTTTGTAGATTCAGAGTTTCTTCTTCACTGCTATGTCTCTTAGTGCCTAGATCAGTGGGCTTTAGAGGCTCAGTCCGTGACTGGCACAGCTTTGGGCCTGAGGTGAGGCATCAGGGTGAAAGGGCGTGGCAGAGGAGAGCCACCCAGCTCGTGGTAGCCAGGAAACAGAGAGAGCCTTTATTATCAATTTAGAGTGCACTCCTTCTATTTATAAAAGATGTTTACTGTGAAACAGTATGCCCCTACACCAACAGGAGCCTCATATATCTCATGTTTCTTGTGTCCCTTGACAGCATCAAAAGCCTCACTGAGCAGTTGACCTTTACCATCTAGATTGATGTAAGTATACCCTAAGATGTTTACATAATGATGAAATCACCTAACGGTGTGTTTCTCAGAACATATCCCCGTCATTAAGTCACGCATGATTGTATATGCTTTTCTGATTCCACAACTGTTCTTCATGTATCTGTCTAGCCCATACTTTCAGCAACCCCAGGGCTCACACAATGTTATTAAAAGACAGCTGCCTGTTTGTTTCCTTGGGTGAACCACTGATTTTAATATAGCAAACTCAATGGAAGTCAAAAGACACTAGGGTTGACTCACCAGTCATGATGATGTCATTATCCTGATTAAGATAATCTGGGCATCTTTTCATGTAGTTATCAGTTCACCAAGTTCAAGTTTGAGAAGACTATTTTCCACGAAGGTGAAAATAGAGTGCTGGGACAAAGGCTGTGTCAGAAGATGAACTGGTATTATTTCTCTCATGAAGTGAGAGGGAAACAACATCTTTTAGTTGTTTAAAGATTTATAATTAAAGAGCACCTTCATCTGAGTCATGTCATTTGATCTTCATGAAAACCTTAAGAGGTGGGCCTCTTAAAAAGAGGTAAGTGATTTGTACAATACCTGGTAGAGTGGAGTTAAAACTAAATAGTAGTCTTCTAGTCTAACCCTCTTGCTATAACAGCGTTGGCAATGATATCATGTTTGTCTCCACTATACCTTCCTGATCAGACATCAACAATTGATCCTAGAATTATTTTTTACCCAGCTCCTAACTTCACAAAATTCCTAACTCTGTGACCTAGAAAACTAGAAAGTCACTACCAAGGAATTGGACCTAGTGTGAAATAAGAAATCCCTTTCCCTCCTGACAATGCTAACTTGTGTTATCCACAAGTGCTGATTACAAAGAGAATCACTTTTCCGGGAGGTCTATGAAAGAGTAAGCATTCATTTTTTCAAATTGAGGATTATTTATATAGAAGCAGAGACTGACTCTGGAGGTCCTTTCTAATACTGGAATTCTGTGAGGTTAACCACATACTTATTATTTTTCCATGGCTTTGCCCTGAAGTTACAGTGAAAGTATATACATGCTGAGACAGGCAGAATTCTTAGATGTGGTCCCTACCCCCTGATGATGATACCTCATGTAACATCCTTCTCTTGAGTTTGAGTAAGACTCGTGACCTACTTCTGGTCAATAGCAGCATATGGCAAAGGTGAAGGCATTCTGTAGAAGGTGCTCTGTAATTCAGGTCCTAAATCAGTTGAGTTCGAGTCAATCAAAAGGAAGATTATCCTGAATTGCCCTGATTTTCATCAGTTTTTTTGGCTCTCCTTTAGATCAAATTCTCTATTGTTGGCTTTGAAGAAATACAGTACCATGTTGTGAGGACATGGAGAAGCCACACAGAGGAAGAATTCAGGTGGCCTGTAGAACAGTGGGGGCAGTCCCTGGTCCTAACCAGCAGGAAACAGGGACCTTGGTCCTACAACCACAGAGATGAATTCTGAGGGAGCCCAGAAGCAGATCTTTCTCCAGTTGATCCTCCAGGTGAAAATGTAGCCTGGTTGACACCTTGTTTGCAGCCTTGTGAGATGTTAAGCAGAGAACCTAGTTAAGCTATGTCCAGGCTCTTGGCACACAAAAACTTTGGGTTCATATAATGTATTGTTTTTAATTACTAGGTTTGTTATACTTTATGATGTAGCAAAGAAAACTAACTCTCATGCCTTATGTTGTGGCTTGCATTATTAAATCTTAATTTTGGTTTTGTCCCTTGATTAGGGTTCTTTCAACCTATTTAGATCACAAGTTTAAGCTCTGGGCTTAAGAACAAGGTGGAACACAACAGGGCCATTAAAGTAGCAGAGTTCTTCTCTAGAAAAGAGGGAAGACCTCATTTCATAACATTTCTTCATATTCTCCCACATTTCTGCATGATATTGTAGTCTAGCTGGCAGTCATCTGTGAAATCAATACCAGTTACAGAGAAATACTTATAGTTTATCATGATTTTCCAACTTTTACTAAGAAACACCTATTATGGGTTGGATCTGGACTGTCCCCCACAGTCTATTGTTGAAAACGTGACCCCCATTGCAGAAAGGTTTAGAGGTGGAGATTTTAGGTGATGATTGGATCATGAGAGCTCTGAGCCCACCAGTGGATGAATTGGCTACTGGGAGATGGGACCAAGTGAGAGGAAATAGGTCATGAGGGGCATGTCCTAGAAGAGTTTGTCTTCTCCCCACTCCTGCTCCCCTGCTTCCTGACGGCTATGATTTGAGCAGCCTCTGCAGCTACACACTCCCACCACCACTCAGGCCCAAAGCAATGGAGCTAGCCAACCATCCATTGAAACCTCAATAACTCTGAGCCAGAATTATCTTTCCTTTTCTAAGTTGTTCTTGTCAGGTATTTAGGTCACAGTAACAAGAAGCACTAACATACCACTGCAGAAAAAAGCCACTTGATAGTATTATTCTGCTTGCAAGTCCTGTCGAGTAGGCAATTAAGCTTGCCTTGGCAATTAAAATTAAATTCTAAGTTTTCTTTAGTGAGAACTTCCAGTATAATGTACACTTACATTGTACTGGAAACCATTCATTTAATCTTTTATTGTTGATTATGGGTCCATGTACAGTCCTGGGTGGTAAGAATATAAGGGTGACTAAGATAAAGTAATTGCCCTCAAGTTGCTAAAGGAGAAGTAGGCAAGTAACCTGAGAATTACAATGAAATATGAATAAAAAGAACTGTGGGCAAATGAGAAGCAGGAGCCCCAAAGAAGAAGTTTTCCCCAAAGATCACTATAATGAAGTTTATGGTTACCTGTCTTTTCTAAGAGTCCTTAAAGGCAGCCACCTCTTCTTTGCTGTTACTGTTCTTTGAATTCCAGATGCATAGCAGTGTGTGTACATAGTAGATACTCAATACCATATTTCAGTAAAACTAAGACACCCTTAAATAAATCATATTATTTTATGTACCACAACAAAATAAAAAAAATGCTGCTAATTAAACTACGATACGCCAGGGTTCATAAACAGGTCTGTTTTCAGAATGTTGAAATGTGAAGGAAATGCTTATCATAGAATTGCTTTGTATTAAGTAATCACTTATAGTGAACCAATGATAGTGAATTCCTAGATGGATTACAGAAGTAACAGAATAGAAATTTCAGAGAGTGGAGAGCAAAGATGCAATGCATGTTCTGAGTATGTTATCTAGCTCTGCACTACCACATGTCAGGATAGTGACCTCCTCACAAGACAGACCAAGCCATGTGACAGATGTCTCTCTAAATATCCCTACCAGTTGTAACATCTTAAAACTATAAAAGAAGGCAAAATTCCATAAAGATTAACAATTTAATTCTTAGATAATACAATTTTCTTACTTTAAGATGTAATCTAAGTTCAAAGTCTTTAGAGTTAGACCAAAAAAAAAAAAAAGTACTGACCATTATGAATTCAACTGTGTCTTCTAAAAATTTATACACTGAAATACTAAAGTTCAAACTCCCTTTGCCTCAGAATGTGACCTTGGAAGTAGGGTCATTGCAGATATAATTAGTTAAGGTGAGGTCATACTGGAGAAGGTTGGGCCCTGTGTTTGTCATCCTTATAAAAAGGGGGAATTTGGGCATAAACATGCACACAGGAAGAATACCACATGAACATGAAGCAGGGACAATGTGTCATGGACAGCTGAGGATTGCCAAAGATTGCCAGCAAACCAGCAGAAGCTAGGAGAGAAGCGTGGTATGGATTCTCTCTCACAACCCTCAGAAAGAAGCAAACTGACCAACACCTTGATCTTGAACTTCTAGTCTGCAACTGTGAGACAAAACATTTCTGCGATTTGAAATACTCTGTCTGTGGTACTGTGAGATGGCAGCACTAGTGAATGAATACATCTGTGTATCTGAAGAGCTTTAAAAGGCCACATCCAATCACATAACGAAGCTGGGTGGGAGTTGCAGGCTTCTGTGAGTAGGCAGAATTAAGTGACATGAGTCAGGAGACCAAAACCTTTCAGTGTTTTGAAACCCATGACACAATGTCTATAAAAAGGTAGTCTGACAGTGAAAAGAGTTACTCTGGATGTCAGGCAGTTCCAGGTCTTGTGTTTGACCAAATTTTCTGATCATTAGTCTCTAATAAATAATTAAGGGGGTGACTGCCGTCCTCAGTAATTGGGCAACCTCAGCTGAATGGGATCATAGCACTCTTTCCCATCTTCAATTCCCAGGAAGACTAGTTAGGCATAGAATGATTTAAAAGAATCAAAATCAAATGTAAGTATGTTTTGCATTAAGAAAAGATCTATATATTTGATACATTTCAGGCAACTTTATTCTCATAGAACTCACTACTATCCAAGCAGGAGAGGCACAAAGCTCATGAAATTTGCAAGCTATTATTAAACAATGTTCCATTTCTTGCTACTATATAAAACCTAGAACTATAGCTAATACTGTTGAAACTAGTAGTGCTGAGGCTGAAAGGTCTCAATTTAGTGAATAGAATTTGTACAAGGGTGAGGAATGGTTTAATAGTAGATGACATTAGATTTAGTGATAATACTTTTATAGAGGAAAGATGTAGCAGATTGGGATGCCATCTGCCAAACCATAGTTGAGCTGAAACCACCATTTGGCTACAGATACAAGAATTTGGCAAAAATCGACAAAGGCACTCTGTGAGAATCGATTGACTATGTGGAATTTACAATAAAGAGTATTGCATGTTCTATTATTATTTGGAGGTTGTGGGCTGTGTTTATTTGTTCTCATTTCTCTTTCCCCACACTCAGTTGTTAAACATTTGCCACCACTGGGGAGATAGACATTAACAAATACACAGATATTAAATGAAACAAATTCAGGTGGTTATAAAAGTTATGAAGGAAGCTGAGCCGAGAAATGTGGTGGAGAGTGACTGGTGGTTGGAAAATGGTTGGGAAAAGCTCCTAGTGTGGGCGGGTGGTGAGGATGATGAGACGTAGCCAGCCATGTGAAGGTCAGGAGTATGCTGCAGACAGAAGGCCAAGCAAATTCAATGGCTACAAGGGAGGAAAGAGTTTGTGTGTTGTTATTGCTGTTGTTATCAGAATCTTTTGGACACTTGTGACCCCAAATCCAAGGATTCCACTCATTCCTATCTCCCTCCCCCGCCTCCAATGTGTGTCTGAGCAACTGCTCCAGGTCCATTTGGACCTGAAAGAAAACATCTCTGGCTTCCTCTACAAACTCTCAAACTATCAGAGTTCTGCATGGTTTAGATACTATTTGTTCTATGTGTTTCTTTCTTGTTTCTCTTTGGTGGGAATTTGTAATATCCAACCCACATCTTTCCATTTTCTTAATTCCTAAATTTAACTTCCTTACACAAGTCTCGACTATACTCAGTTCGATGCCACAGCTACACCTACCCATTTTCTCTCATAGTAAAGTTGTGATCTCTCCAACTGCCTTGTTGCTAGGCTTGTTTAAAGATTTTTCTTCGAAGTCTTTTAAAACAATGTTTATTCCCTGTTTGGCTTTGGAAACTGACAGTTCTTAAAGGAAACGAGACATTTTTGCACAGATGTTTTGATTTCCATACCTTCAGTAATTGCGTTGACTTAGTCATTCCTAATTCCCGAAATCTGGAGGCCTGCTGAGGCCCCTGAGAAATGCTCAATAATGCTCCTTTCTGGTGTAAGAGCACCACATTCAACTCTTAAATGCCATGGCTCTAATTCACTCCTTAATGATGGTGCAAATGAGTTGAATCTTTCACATTGCAGACTTTTAACTTTTCAAACATCATTAAACAGAACCATTACAATGATATGTTCAGTCCAATGGATAAGTGCTTTGGCTGCAGCATGAAAGAGCTAATTTGTAATTTAAAATATGATTCCCCCCACCACCCCGGCCTATTAGATAGCTCATAAAAAACCGGAAACTTTCTCCTCCAGGGATTGAGGGGCTGGTTCTTTTCATTGGCATTTGCCTTGATAGGGCTCCTCTCATTGCCAGTGCTTAGAGCAAGCTTGGAGTGTTTAACTCAGTTCCTGAAATGATCAGCTTTCAATGTCAATTGCTGACATTAGACCCAGCTGCTTGAAATGTCAGCACAGCTGCTTTGTGAGATGAGAACAAAATCTTACCACTGCTCCTTGTTCTACGGTGAGGCCTCAAGGAAACGCTGATTATGAACCAAGGGGCTCATAATTCTTTCATTTTTGTTCCTTTTACCACCAGCTCGGATTTCAATAAAATGAAACTTCAGTTCAGGAATCTGGAAGTAGATGCAAAAATGTACCCATGATTTTGAAACTCTGCTCTGTTACAGATTTCGGGATCTGCTTTTTCTGTTTTGGTTGTATGACTCATAGAATTTCTAAGGAACCACCCAGGAGGGCCCCATTCACTTGGATAATGAAGGTTCTTGCTGGGTGAAGAACAGTCCCTCCTTCCGGAATGAAGGAAGCTTGACTGGATTTGCACACCCACAGCAACCAGTCCTGCTGGGAGGCTTTGCTTCACCTTGCCCTGGTCCTGTGGACCTATAGATTGGCACATGAAGACGCTTAAAGACGAACAAATGAAAGAATTGAGTAGGCCTGAATAATAGCGTCTCATGAAAGCTAGGGCAGAATGAGGCAGAGGGAAGGCTCTCTGTGCAAGCCCAAAGATTCTTTCATCCTTTTTCACCTGAGCTCTGACCAGACTATTGCTTCTTTAACATCCTACACTGAAGGGTCTGATGCAAACATGAC